TACAGGCGCCGCCGCACCCCTGCCCGGCTAGTTTTTGTGTATTCTTTTAGTAGAGGACGGGTGTTCACCATCGTTAGCACGGAATGGTCCCTCGATCTCCTGACCTTCGATCCCCACTCTCGGCCTCCCAAAGTGCTGGGATATACAGGTTTGAGCCACTGCGCCCTACCGTATCTTAATAAGTCTTTTAAAAGTAATTGCCTTCCCTTTCCTTGTCCCTCTAATATGCTGCATCCACCAAGTTTCAATATGTTGTATTTATAAATGTTGAGTTGCTAAATTATTAATAATTTTTATGTGTGTTTCTCTGTTAAACCGCATGGATAGAAATTACGTATGATATACAAGTAATATTTTATTAAACTAATTTTGAATGATGGTTGTTAATAGGAAACCACAATATACAATTGGCTTATTAGTGATATAACTAGTAGAAGCATAATGAAATTTATTTTTCTGAGCGCTTTTCTGTGACCTAAGATATGTGCTTTCTTGTAAATGGTGTCCCAAGTTTTTACTGAAAGGAGTGTGTCTTCTGGTTTGAAATTATTACTTCAATTTGTTTATATGTCCTTTTTTTTTTTCTTTTTTAAGACAGAGTCTTGCTTCCTGTTGCCAGGCTGGTGTGCAGTGGTGCAATCTCAGCTCATTGCAAAGTCCACCTACCGGGTTCAAGAGATTCTCTTGCTCAGCCTCCCCTAGCAACTGGGATTATAGGCGCCTGCCACCACACCTGGCTAATTTTTATTTTTAGTAGAGATGGCAGTGTTCAGGTTATGATTGGCCAGGGCTGTCGTCGAACTCCTGATTTCAGGTGACCCACCCGCCTCAGCCTCTCAAAGTGCTGGGATTACAGTTGTGAGTCACCACACCCGGCTATATGTCCTTTTGTCTTAGTTTTTTATCTGTATTAAAATCTCCCATTGTGACTATGGATTTGGCCATTTATCCTTGAAATCCTACCCTTTTTAATGTATACATTTTGAGGCTGTGTTCCTTTTACTTTATAGTCATGAAGGTGAAGGAGAAGGCTGGGGTAGGAAAGCTGGACCACACTAACCACAGGAGGAGATTTCCGGATCAGAAAGGTGAGGTCACTTTGAGGACTTTACGCAAATCTCAGGAGGCACTGAGAATTCTCTGGATGTCTTTATAACAACTCTTGCAGCTGGAGAGTCTAGGGAGCAGGTCCCTTTTCCTGACTCATCCACAGTGTCTCCTTGAGGCTGGTGGGACCAGCCTTCATGGTATCCCCAGGTGACTGCATGGTCAGGCCGGAGACAGGAAACTGCCACTTTGCCTGTGTGGATTAGAGTATAGCTTCCCCAACACAAAATGTAACTCACCTAATTTTACAAGATCTGCAAACCATAATAAATGCCAAATATCAACATTTTATATTAATAGATTCCCAAACTGCCAGCTCAGTTAAAACCAGTGCAAGAGGATGTTGGGGTGGCAGGTATTTCTGTTGCTCCAGAATTGCTGACTTTAGAGGCCCGAAGCCTCCTACACACTACAGAGAAGAAGCCACAGGGCTTATGAAAAGGCAATCAGATGGGTGGCTAGTGCCATCATTACCCCAGCCCCATGTGAAGGAAAATACCAACCTCACTGTCCACCTACAGGCTCTGTGAGCTGCAGAATGCGTAGAGCCACTTTGGAGCTATCAAGCAAGAAAAATGCCCTAAAGAGTTGCTAGGAGAACTTGGCACATGTCCTGAGCCAAACTGCAAGATACTTACAGTGAGAGGAGAGGTCCTGCAGAGCCACGAAGGAGAATGTAGACTTGGGTGAGGGCAAGCCACTCTCCACAGTTCACCAGCTAAATCACCATGCTCTTTTGATTATGATAGAAGCCAAGAAAAGATGGGACAATTTAGATTCAGAACAGAAAGTAAAATATTTTTTTGACAGCCATCTCCTCTGATTTTTTTAATAAGTATACTCTTCCTGTGTATGGCCCCTTACAATTTGCATAATCATGTTCTCATACATGATCCCATTCTATCTTTTCAGACGCCAGTTCGGTAGAGAAAGGATTTTCATTCCCACATTACAGATGAGTTCACTGAGTCCCACAGAGGCAGGATGGCCACAGATCAAGTAGAGGACAAACCAGGGAGCACCCAGGGCAGCTGCCTCTTGGGTTGGGGTCTTTTTGATAAGACCTGCTTCTTTTCATTTCCATTCCTGGCCTCAAGGGTGGAGAATAGGAACTTGTCGTTGGAAGACCCAAATATGCTAAGCCCTTAGAGTGGAACTACTTACCTCTAAGTGCTAGTGTCTACTTCTTATCTCAAATTGCAGCTTGCTTAAACAATGCAGTGTAGGGAAGGGAAGTTCCACCATGATATGGGGAGGTGAGAGGAGGAAGAAGGGAAACTAGTCATTCTGACACCCGTCCCCTAGGAAGCGAGGCCACACTTCATAATAATCTCCACTTCATTTTTTTCATCCCTGTTACATCCAGGGGAGAATGGGATCCAGAAGAGCATGCAGTGGGGTGAACTGGGACTATATACAGATTTGGACACTGACATCCAAGTAACCTGACCCCCAGTACCTAGGAATGCACCAACCAGAGTAGACTCATACAACATTTCTCTAAAGCATATTCAACATCTCTCTAAAAGGCTTAGACATGCTTCTCCATAGTTCAGTTGAGAAACAGTATAGTGTTATTTGAAAGTGGACATAGATTAATTCTAACTGTATATTGCAAAGTCTAGGGCAACCACTATAATTTTTTAAGGGGTATAATTGATACACTCAGAGATGAGAGAAAACAGAATCATATAAAGTGCTCAATTAAAACCACAGGAGGAGCTGGGCATAGTGGCATGTGCCTGTAGTCCCAGCTACCCAGGAGACAGAGGCAGGAGAATTGCTTGAGGCTAAGAGTTTGAGGCCAGCCTGGGCAACATAGCAAGACCCTCTTTCTTAAAAAAAAAAAAAGGACAAGTGTTGGCAGGCGCGGTGGCTCAAGCCTGTAATCCCAGCACTGTGGGAGGCCAAGACAGGCAGATCACGAGGTCAGGAGATCAAGACCATCCTGGCTAACACGGTGAAACCCCGTCTCTACTAAAAAATACAAAAAACTAGCCGGGCAAGGTGGCGGGCACTTGTTATCCCAGCTACTCGGGAGGCTGAGGCAGGAGAATGGCGTAAACCCGGGAGGCGGAGCTTGCAGTGAGCTGAGATCCGGCCACTGCACTCCAGCCTGGGCGACAGAGCAAGACTCCGTCTCAAAAAAAAAAAAAAAAAAAAAAGGACAAGTGCCACAAACACAAAATAGTTGTAAACATGGCAGATATTAATTCGCTGATATCAATAGTCACTTTATTTATTTATTTAGAGACGAAGTCTTGCTCTGTCGCTCAGGCTGGAGTGCAATGGTGCATCTCAGCTCACTGCAACCTCTGCCTTCCGGGTTCAAGCAATTCTCGTGCCTCAGCCTCCCAAGTAGCTGGGACTGCAGGTTCACACCACTACGCTGGTTTATTTTTTATATTTTTAGTAGAGATGGGGTTTCGCCATGTTGGCCAAGCTGGTCTTGAACTCCTGGCCTCAAGTGATCCATTCACCTCGGCCTCCCAAAGTGCTGAGATTACAGGCGTGAGCCACTGCGCCTGGTCAATGATTACTTTAAATATGAATGGTCTAAACATATCAATTAAAAGACAGAGGATGTTAGAAAGGCTCAAAAAACAAGACCCAACTATGTGACAAGAAACCTACATTAAATATAAAGACACAGGCCAGGTGCGATGGTTCACACCTGTAATCCCAGTACTTTGGGAGGCTGAGGTGGGAAGACCACTTGAGGTTAGGAGTTCGAGACCAACCTGGCCAACATGGTAAAACCCTGTCTCTACTAAAAATACATAAATTAGCCGGGCATGGTGGCACACACCTGTAATCCCAGCTACTCGGAAGGCTGAGGCAGGAAATCACTTGAATCCTGCAGGTGGAAGCTGCACAGAGCAAGACTCCATCTCAAAAAAAATGCAAATACACACACACACACATATATATGCACACACACACATATATATACATAGATAGATAGATAGATAGATAGATAGATAGATAGATAGATAGATACAGATGAATTAGAAGTAAAGAGAGGGAGAAAGATATTCCATGATAATACTAATCAAAAGAAAGCAAGAATAGGTATCTTAATTTCAGACAAAGAAGAATTCAGAGCAAAGAACATCTCTTTAATAGGGATAAGGGAGGGCATTGCATCATGATAAAAGGGTCAGTTCTTCAGGAAAACGTAATAGTCCTTAACATGTATACACCTAACAGCAGAGCATCAAAATACATGAGGCAAAAAAATGACAAAACTGAAGAAGCTATTACAGTTGTAGACTTCAACACCCATCTACCAGTAATTAACAGATCGTGCAGGCGGAAAATCAGTAATGATACAGTTGAGAGGAACAGCATGTTAATCACCTGGATTTAATTGACATTTGTGTAATGCTTCGGCCAACAACAGCAGAATACACATTCTTCTCAAGCTCATGTGGAATATCCACCAAGACAGACCACATTCTGGGACATAAAACACACCTGAACAAATTTAAAGGAACAGAAGTCATGCAGAGTATGCTGTAACACCACATTGGAATTAAACTAAAAATCAATAACAGAAAGATTACTGGAAAATCCCAACAGATTTAGAGATTAAACGATATACTTCTAAATAATATATGAGTAGTCAAAGAAGAAGTCTTAAGAAAATTTTGAAAATATTTTTGACTAAACGAAAATGAAAATTTAACTTATCAAAATTTGTGGGATGCAGCAAAAGCAGTGCTTAGAGGAAGATGAATAACATTAAATGCATATATTAGAAAAGAAGAAAGATCTAAAAGCAACAACCTAAGCTCCCATTTTAGGAAACAAGAGAAGGAATTGCAAAATAATCCTAAAGCAAGAAGAAAAAAGGGATAATACCAAATAGAGCAGAAATCAGTGAAATTAGAAATAGGAAACAATAAAGAAAAATCGATGAAACTGAGGCTATCTCTTAAAAAGATTAATAAAATGGATGAATCTCTAGCCAGGCTAACCAAGGGAAAAAGGGAGAAGACATACATTAATATCAGAAATGAAAGGTGATCATTATTGATTCCATGGACATTAAAAGGATAATAAAGGAATATTATGAACAACTCTGTGCCTACAAATTTGATGACTTAGGTGAAATGGACTAATTTATTGAAAGACACAAACTACTAAAACTTACACAGGAGAAATAAATAATTTGAACAGGTCTATTACTATCAGAGAGGTAATAGATAATAATTAACAACTTTACAAAAAAAAAAAAAAAAAGAGCAACAGACCTTGATGATTTCACTAGCAAATTCTGCCAAACATTTAAGGAAGAAAGGATATCAATTGTCTACAATCTCTTCCAGAAAATAGAAGCAGAAGGAATACTTTCTCACTAATCCCATGAGGTCAGCATTATCCCAGTACAAAACCAGATAAAGACATGACAAGAAAGAAAAACTACAGATCAATATCCTTTATGAATATATATGCAAAAATCCTCCACAAAATGCTGGCAGATCAAATTCAACAATGTATAAAAATAATTATACACCATGACCCAAAAGGATTTATCCCAGGTATTTAAGGCTGGTTCAGTATTCAAAAGTCAATTAAGACAATTCATCATATCAATAGGCCAAAGAAGAAAAATCACACAATAATGTCAATCGATGCAGAAAAAGCATTTGACAAAATCTAACACCTATTCATAGTAAAAACTTGCAGTAAACTAGGAATAGAGGGAAATTTCCTCAACTTGATTTTTAAAAAATCTACAAAAAAACTATAGCTAACATCATACTTAATGATGAGAAACTCAAAACTTTCCTACTGAGATCAGGAACAAAGCAAAGAGATCCCCTTTCACCAGCCCTTTTCAATATCATACTGGAAATTCTAGCTAATGCAATAAGACAAGAAAAGGAAATAAATGTATATAGTTTGGGAAGGAAGAAATAAAACTATCTTTGTTCACAGATGATATAACTGTCTATGCAGAAAATTCCAAAGAATT